CAGCTGAATAAAGCAGCTGGCCCTGGCTCCCAGACCTTCATCCTGGCAGCCTGCCCTGCTCTCACCTGCGAGTGCACGGCCTTGTGCTGCTCCAGGCTGACTGCATGGCCGAAGGTCTTGCCACACATGTCACAGGCAAACGGCCTCGTGCCCTTGTGTGAGCGGCCCATGTGCACCTCAAGGCCGTGCGGTGTGGAGAAGACCTGAGGGAAGAGAGTACACGGGGTTAAGTTCACCAGGGAGAAGGGTCTGGGGAAGAGTCATAACCAGTGTGGGAGAAAGGGACCCCTACCTTGCTGCACTTGACACACTTGTACGAGCCAGTGCTGATGAGCAGTGGGCGGCACAAGAGGTCTGACTCCACTTTGACACCACCCAGCCCCTTCTCCTGCTGCAGCCCAGGCTGTGTTTTGGCGTAGAGTCCAGGAGCTGCTGCCGGCGAGCGCTCAAACAGCCCCGTGCTCGGGGAGCTGAAGTTTCCATAGAGTCCAAGGGAAGAACTACACTCAGCGCCATACAGGGCAGGCTCAGAGCCTCGGTCGCAGAAGAGCCCCGGCACTGAGGGTCGCTCCAGTGTTGGGCAGGGCCTGTTGCTTTGCACAGGATGCCTCAGCTCAGAGCCACCCAGGCTGTTCCACATGTACGGATTGAAGGGCACCGAGAAAGGGGGTGCTTCATCTAGGGACGGACACACAGATCTCTCCGAGGCTGTGGAAACAAAAGGGCATGGGAATTAGTGTGCTTCACAATCCAGACACTATCACGGGGCAGAACAGTCTCAGCACCCAGACTTATGCCCAGAGGCAGACCCCTGTACTGCACACTGAGGCTGCCCTTTCATCTCTCGTGGGAGGACATTTTACATTGCACATTAGGGACTGAGCATCCAGTACCACCTACTTACCGGATGTCCCAGCCAAATTATTTAAAGCAGACACCAATTTTTTCTGTCTCCATCTCTGGGTGCCCAGGTGTATATACGCTGATCTGACCATGTAAACAATCTAAACAACTCAGTCTGCAACTTCCTACAGTTTTATCTACAGCTTCTCAAAAATGTGAATCTGCTGTGCTCCAAGATGGACATCAAAGCTCACAGTCCATATGTTTAAGCTCTGATGAAGATTTTCAGAAAAAAAAAAAACCGAACAACTAAAATCAATCCTCATCTGAAAAAAACACATGATTGTTTCAGATTGCTCTGAGGTTCTCCATGTAAAGAAACTGAGTCCACCCAAAACACAGAGCTTTGTAAAGTCATCAGTAGAGGTCACATTAAAAACTGAAGACACAATTACCATTTTCCTAGCAGTCATAATCAAAGCAAACTTCCACCAGGACAAGCTTAGATAGCTTTAGTTGGCTCTAACAGGCTTATCTTTGGCAATGGCATCTGACCAAGGCAGTGGGCACTAGAAGATGAACCACACTTGGGGACCCATAGCAGAGTCTGATACAATGGCAGAAGAATAGCCTTTGAAATACTGTTTCACAATGCTCAGGGAGCCTTGCGTGGAGGAAAGCACAGCTGGGCATGGAACATGAGGTACCAGACCCCAACTATGTCTGCCAGAGTGCTGAGGTGCACTGCTTTCACTCCTCATCACAACACGCAGCAGCACTGGGAGAGTCAAATGTCTCCACTGCAAAAATGTTTTAGTGAACCAAGGAAAAGATGAATTAGTGAACTGCTGAAACACCAATGCCTTCATAGAGATACTGGCACTGCTTCCAACTTGGGCTTCCAGAGTAATGTCTTTTAACCAAAATCTTGTCCATCCACAATTGCTCTCCTACTTTTTTCTCCCTCCTGTCAGCTTCACAGCTCCCATGGCCTTCTCAACCTCTGGTAAACCAAGATAACCAGGGCTGGACTAGGGAAGGAAGGAATGATGCCTTATGCTATCCATTTGGATAGGCAAATGGTCACTGAGAGGTTACAGAAGGGAGTGGGAAATTAGGTGAAAATTGAGCTTTGAACAACATGACTGTTTCCTGTCCTTTACGTAATTTCAGACATTACCAGTCTCAAATTCTTCCACTGAAATTAACAGTTTTTTGGTTGGACACATACCATCCGGGACATTTGAACAGAGCGATGAAATCAAATTAGCTGACATGATGCTGAGCATGATTTTTCCTGTTCTGCACTGACTGCAAAGTTGCAGTCAGTGTCCCGTCACCTATCTTGTGTTTTTGCAACCAGTTTCAGTGTTGCCATCTCTCACGATTTTATCACAGAATTCAAAACCATCTTAAAGTCCCAGCTCTTAAAACTTCATGAGTTCATCAGGTCTTCAGGTTTTCTTTTGTTTGCTTGTTCTTGTTTTAACTATTTTTCCGCCCTCTTAAAGCCACCTTCTAGCCCAAACATTAAAGCAAAGTATGAAAACATAGACCCTCCATTTTTCAACACTAGAATCAAACATCCGTAAGTTCTTACTTACAATCTTGATTTCTAAGCCAGTTCATTGAGTGAGAGGAGAGGGAAGGTTGACCTGAATTTTGAGCCCTTGGAATTGGCAATACAGTACATGGTGAACATTGCACCACAGATCAGTTTGCGTGCAATGTTCCTTCCAACACCTCTCATGCTCTGGAGCCCTCTAAAGCACAAGTCCACGGGAGTCACTCATGTTTATACTCAAGCCATCCAAGCCCTGCACCCAGGGAAAAGCAATCTTCAAACCCTGCTCTACCACACTGCAGGGCACTTCCGTGTCTGCCTCTCCTCCACTCCACAGCATCTAAGGGGGGAGCAGGGAGGGAGGAGAAAGATTCTCCCTCATTTTCCTAGAAATTCTGTGCAGTGTTTATATAGACTACTTCTGGGAGATAAAAAAAAAAATCAATGCTCTTTTTTGAAGGCAAAATGAACTCAACTTTAAATAGTTGATATGCACAGTGAAGAAAGATTCAAGTGTCCTCTTCAACAGAGCACGAAACACCACACTCTCTGCACATTATACCCAGTCCAAGTCTCCTTTCAAGACTGGAACATCAATAGGCTCATCAGGACTTATTAATACACTGCTGCATGAGCTCCCATGCACCTTCTGTATGTGCAAACGTGTGTGATTAGAGACACACACAGAAAGTGAGGTTAAACAGCAAAGTGATTTGTACTGATGGAGTCAACAGTGTATTAGAGTGTTAAAAGGTAGTGTGTCTGTATGCTGTATGCCCACCCAGATCAGCAGCACAGCACTCAAAAAACAAAAGTGAAATATGGCTTTCACTGCATACTGAAGTGCAACCTGCACCTATATTCAAGAGATAAGGGGG